AGTGAACGGATTATACTATTTCTGTAGATGAAATTGCATACGGTAATGAAAAGCTTCAAGAGTGGAAGGGCTGCTGGAATTGACGAAATCCGCCCTGAAATGCTCAAGGCACTAGACGAACAATGCATGTGCTGGTTTACATGTGTCTGTGAAACTGCGATGACTACGGCGAAGACATGAGCGGAGTGGAAAAAGGGAGTTGTTGTATCCCTGTTCAAGAAAGGAGACCAGAGAGAGTGCTCCAACTATGGGGGCATCACGTTATTGAGCCTCATAGGTAAAGTTCACGAAAGGTGCTGGAAATGAGGGGCTGGGAATAACTGACTTCAAGATACAAGAAGAGCAATGTGGCTTTCGGCGCGGCCAAAGCGACAATGACAATATATTTCCATTGCGCCAGATTGATGAGAAAACGTGAGAGTGCGCCCGTCCGGTGTAAATGTGCTTTGTTGATCTAGAAAAAGCGCATGACCGGGTCCCGCACAACAGTCTGTGGTCATGCTAGTGAGCAAACAGGATAGATGGCCAGCTGTAACGGGCAATTCAATCAAAATATTCTGAGAGCAAGTATTGCGTCAGAGTAAATGACGTTAAGTCGAAACCAATCAACGTTGGGACTGGTCTCCGCCAAGGCTGAGTCCTGTCCCCACTCTTGTTTGTGGTGTATATGTATAGGATGGCCAGGAGCAGTCAAGGCGATGAGTTAATCGGTGTAGGATATGTGGAGACGAGAACGTTGCTGTTAGCAGACGAACTTGTTTTTTTGGCATCTTGTTAAACTGATATACAGTGCTCCATAGAAACGTTTGCAGCCGAGTGCAACGTGGCCGGTATGTGTATGCACACATCTAAAAAGAAAAGCCCAATGCTTTCTCGTTATCCTGTCAGTTGTTCTCTTCAGATTAACGGAGAGGCAGTGGGGTGTTTCAGGTACCTCGGAATTGTATTTACTAGTGATGGAAAATTGGAGGAGAAGATCGACCGCGAATTGGAGTAACCAGTGGCGTTCTGCGTGGACTAGCCCGACCCATATGACTACAGCAGAGCTCAGTATGAAAACTAATCTCTCGGTGTTCAAGTCGATCTTCGGCCCCATGCTTATCTATAGTCATGAGTTGTAGAGTATGACTGAAATACTTGAATCCGGGTACAAGCAGCTGAAATGGGCCTTCTGAGACGAGTCGCTGGCCTAAGCGTCTCCACATGGTCCGGAACACTGACATCCGGGAGAGCCTTGGTGTACAGCCTTTGCTTCTCCAGACTGAGAAGTCACAGCTGCGATGGTTTGGCTATGTGCTGCGAATGCCTTCAGAAAGGAAGGCTAAGCAACTGTTTCGTGCCAAACCGATCGGCAGAAGGCGCATGGTACGGCCAAGTTAAACCTGGTGCATATTCCAGTTATCTTCTGCCGAAGCTCTGACTCTGGCACAGGACCGGGTACGCTGGAAGGACTGTTTAACGCGTCTGACTCTGCGACACGTAAGGAGAAGCGGGACGGAAGATGAACATGATGCACATGAAAGTTTGAAGTAAGAGTAACGTGTTGCAATGAGAACCTGCCTCACAGGACCGACAACTTTATCATAATGCCGACGACTTCGGTGAGAGAAAATCCAATTTCTGGCGAAGTTAAATCAGTTATATATTGAAGGATTCAGATGTACTCTTTCTTAATGTTGGCATGCAGTCTTTTATCGCAGTAAAATACTCTTGGGTTTACATTACTTCTTTAAGAACAAAAGCATAAATTTAAGAATAATCATTACGAAGGTTTATGAGATGATGAAACAGACTTAACTAACGAATAAGCCATTAAAAGCAGCTGCTTAAAACTTTTGTAATGTAGGAATTTCAAGGATATCCCTTCTAGAATAGAAGAATTCAAAAAATTCGAAATGGTTATTAGAATAATTGTCTTCATTAAGCTGTATTAATCGATGATAGAGTATCAATTTCATATGTAGGTCAATCGATGCACGTTCATGCCACAATAACTGACCATTAAGCGGCGAGAGCGAGAGGTCATCGCTTTGAACTGAACTGGAAATCAGTTTCAATCCATACCGGCATACTCATTACCAGTCTAAATGATAGCACTTTGATTTGCTTAATTTTATAGCGCATGAAACAATTAATCAAATCCTACCTATTAACTGTTTCAGTGTAAGTTCGGTGATCCGCTTTCGGAAAGCCAGGATGTTCTTATCTGGCGTTTCAAGGGCTTGTCGAAGATCACAAATAGAAGTTCTTCTTTCTTCTAGACAATGCTCTATGGCTGTTAACAGTGTCCTTCTGTTCTTCAGCTTTTTAAAGTAGCAAAATGCAATGAATGAACACAGCATAACCACCGAAACGAATAACTGTACACTGAATGAGCATCCGGTGAAGATAATATGAAGAACATTCATCGCCATCTGAGCAGGTATTAACTTCTTCGGGTCAATGAAATCTTAAATAATAATACAATATTGAATGAGATTATTAATGAGAACCGATATCGAAATCAATTACCACCGATCAAAACCAAGGTGAATATATTTTACCGTTCATAAAATTTTTACCAAATTCTTAACGTTATTATCAGCATCGCATTTAACCGTTTATCCGGTTTTGTGAAAGAAGGAAAAGTTTTAAGTCCAAACTTGGGAATAACCTAACCAACGTTCCGGTCTGTTTGCTAAATGTGTTTTTCAAGCTGTTGATAATGTTTTTCACTTATAATTGATTCGATTAAGATCAAAGGGAAATAGGTCGAGACGTCTAACAGCTTTTTTTGAACCTAGGTTTCGAATGGCACCGAAAGAAATGATGAGAATGGTTAAGAATATGCAAAAAGTGCGATTGTTGTCAGCTTTGACAAGAGCGGCGGAGATGAAAGTAATCTAGAAGAGAGCCGTTGAAGAATTCGCACATGGTTTATAGACCATATCAAAATTGGTTCCAAATATAACAACAATCGATGAAAGAAGTGTGTCCTTGTTCATGCGATAAGGGGAGGTTTGGTAGAGCAAAACATTTTTACTTACCAATGTTAACCTCAAAATACACTTCATGAACCGTATCAATTGAGCTATTTCTCAGCCTGGTTCGAAAAAGCGGAAAAAGTTGTTGGCTATGTATGCCTTGGTCACCTAATGAAAAATCAATAAAAAAGCGTCAACGGTAAGACTGGAGGAAACACAAAGGCGTTGTGGGCAAGTTTCAATCGCATCAGAAGCTCGCTGCAGGATGGTAAACTGCATATGACCACAAAAAATCCGTCGTCGTATCTACCGTCGATTTATGGCATGGATTCGCGGTCTACCACAAAGGCTGAGAAAAAGAAACTAGCGCTAACGCATAGGGCGATGGAGAAAAAACATAAAAAGCCTTCCTATAGCACTGTGTTCCAAGTACGATGAATCGGTGTCAGAAACTTAGGCGATTCTGGGATGTATTTACTATCGCCTGCAGCTCGAAAAGACGATGGTTTAACCATGTGACACGAGTGAAAAGCAACAAGTCGACATCCCGAGTTATCCGCTTGATCTTTGATCTCGGCAGCAGACGTCCAGACGGTACTTTTGAAACAGAAACGCTGGGGCAATCCACCGACGAAGCTGCTTCGTCGACCGACGGTCGAAACAAATGGTACAACGTCAAGAAGACTAGCGGGCTATTGCAAGAGCGTTGAGGAAAACAAGCTAAATAGAAGGATTATATCGGTCCTCAATTCTTTCATATACATCATGAAGTTTTGTCATTGCAGCTAAACGTTTAGTAACGTGAGAGAGACAAAAAGAAAGTAAGCATACAGGCAGATCGAGGTTAGACTGGAGGATCTTGATCAAATGTGATGCAACGCTAAAAGTTTCGGTAAAGTTATACACTCGAGTTTCCAAAAATGTGCCACGCACGGTAAAATGATGCATAGGTTATTTTTTGACGATAAACGACGGATTTGAAAAATGATCTTGGCAGTGTTTACCGATGAATTTCGACGAAAATGCAAATATTTACAATTGATTACGTCCATCTATCCGGCAAACGCTGGTATTGCATAATAACTCCACTTAACAAAACTTCAGCTACAGTGAGAAGTTTCCCAGTGAAATGCATGCGCGTAGATCACACAAGTTAGCCACTTAGGTGATTCCACTGCAATGCCTTTAAAAACAGTAGTTTTTTTTCCTGCAAGGTATGTTGCCAAGCTGAAGACTACAAAAAAGCCAACTACTTCATTCAAACGACGGAGAAACATTTTTATTAACCTCATTGTGCGATATGCTCATTCTACAAGCACAATTGTTTTTTTTTGTCCATGAAGCAGTAATCCACCTATCCCCTTTTCGGCAATTCTGAAGAACCGCCTACTACGCTCAAATTTTCCCCTTGTCGAAATTTCTTGTTTCTTACTGTCTGATGACAATCTAATTTTCCCAGGATTTCATTAGTCCTCACTCTAATGAATCCTATGGATACCTGTAATATCAATCAGCCGTTCCCTCTTATGATGCAACGATGCAGGAATTTTGAGACACAGTAGGACTCGGTTTTAACGCCGGTTACGGGGGACAGAAATTACCCCCGTTATAATTTATACGTTGAATTTTCAGAAATTTTGTTGGAAAAAATTAGAACCCCTAAAAAATATTTTTTACAAAACTCTATAACCCTGATATTAAATTCTGATTAAAATGCATACTCGCCTGCTCTAATCGATTTTTTAAAAAGTCTAATGTCT